CTAGAAAGGTAAATATAAGTTTTAAAAAAAATCACCTTTAGCATGTGTCTATGTATGTTTTTTTAAATTAAATATTAAAATATTAATATTAGTTAAAATAGACCTGTAAATGTAGCTAATTAAAAGCCTTTTGTGTGGTTTACTTTACTATTTTTCATACCCACACTCACCAATGAATTGGTTATGGACCCAAAAGACCCCTACAGCCAGGTCACCAAAGAAGTGACCACTTCACCTGACTCCAATTTTTGGGGAAAACCCTTCTCAATGCTGAAGAACATATGGGCTAGTATGAACATAGAAGTTAGGCTACATGCTTGCCATTACTTTGTTATGGTGATACCAACCTGCATACCCAGGGTGCTGGAACAAGGGATAACTATTCTTTTTTAATAGAAAAAAGTATTTTAAAAATGACATCGCTCTCCATGGTAATGAAAACATACAGAGCTATTGCCTAAAGCTGAAATAAATAACTCCCACTATATAACAAAATTTTGCCAAAGACCAAAAATATGAAAATAACCTTTACTATACTTTTGGATATTTGAATAACTTTAACCTCGGTGACAATTGCTATAGCAAGCTGTGCCTATCAGTTGCCCACATAGTAAATAGAGAGGATAGAAGCAGAAACAGCTGGGTGAATTTCATTTACTCTTTGCTCGATACTCTTGAATGAATATTCACTGGGCGATTGTTGATAAATAGACCCCTGTATTTGCTGTGGATTAATAGGTTTTCCAACTGCTGTTCAGGCATAGCAGCAGGACCTAGGATTCTTTATGACCTCTTGGTTTGATCTCTCCTGGTTGCACAGCTCAGAGGACATAGACTTTCCACACCTCCCTATTAGTATTTTTATTATTTTCCTGCATTTGCATAAGATGCAGAGCATAGCACCGCACAGAGCAATGTTGCTCCACCTAGTTCTGCCCTGTGTTTTTACGGTCATTTAATAGTTAGCTGCAGTTAGCCACTAGGATATGTATCCTTATCAGAAGATATTCCCTCTATTTCTGCTCTGGTGACATTTCAAACTTTTGGATTTTCCCTCACTTTTAGTCCCAGTGACAGTGGTCACCAATACGAATACAGAGGGTAAATCTCCCCAGCAGAAGCACAGTAAATAAAAAATGAAATGAAAATGAAAAACAAATTTTGGCTTTAGATACACTTTAAAGCCCAATTGAAATATTGCACCTTTGCTTTTTGTGTACCATTGTACCTGTATGTAATCCTGTATCACTGTATGTGATAAATATAAACGAATTTTCACCTGGTAATACACTTTCTGCCCCCCATTGTAATACTTTATGTATAAATAAGCAATGACCACTCTTCTCATCACAAGTATCCTCATGTAGACATGAATATTACCTGTGGAGGGATTGCTTGTTGGCTATGTCTATATGAATTTGTATGTATTATTATAATGTATATGTATTATTAATTACATATTGATTATGTTCATATTATTGTATTCTCTATACAGTATGTAGTATTGTTGAAATGTTTAATTTTTAATTTTAATGTTTTTTTGCTTTTTAGAAGCTTGGATATTGTATCACGCCAGAAAGTGAATATTATCTTGTTCAGCAAGGAGACATAAGACAGTTTAAGGTTGGTTTTCAAATTTTCTCCGATCTATTTAAGCATGATTCATCAATTTCTGATACTACTTATTGCATTATCAATGTGGCCTGTAAAGCTATAATGTCACATGAATTATCAAAGAGGGACAAACATTAGATGTATATTATATGTAATGTTTGTATATTCCAAATATTATTAATATCTGGAATTTTTCCTATTCACCTATGTCTGAATCCAAAAAATGTTTCCACTTTGGATGGAGTTGGCAATAGTTAAAACCCCAGTCAGATCTTTTTGCAACCTGTGTCCCTTTTGAAAAAAGTTTATTTACTTCATGTTCTGTAGATACAACCAGATGCGTAAGGAAATCAGAATTAAGTGTCCCCATTGTTCTGTTTTGCTTTTTAATTCTTTGAAACAATGCTGTACTTAATAAATAACTGATTTTCACCTGGAAAAGATTAAAATACCCTTTTTTAGTTTCCGTTTTGCACCTTACACTAATACTCTATGCTGGCATAAATGAGCAATGACCACCTTTCTTATCATAAGCATCCTAATGTAGACTTGCACTGCTAAGGAGGAGTTGAGCAGAAATGACTGGCCAATTCTGCTAAATCACACTACACTAGGCAGAATGTCAAAGTGATAATACAATGTCTAGCTGGATAAAGTTATATTTCTTCAATTTAAACGGCTTTAAAATGCTTACACCTAATTTAGAAGGTTTCTTTGGGAAAATTAAATTTTTGGAAAGCAGCCCCACACCACAACCTAGCACAGTTTCCTGCAACACTCAGGACCCCTCACTTTCCAGAGAAGGAAGAGGACCCATACATTCACATGACCAGAACAACTACACCTCTAAAAAATGTATGAATAAATCTTTTTTTTAAAACAGGAAAGGGTGGATTAAAAAGAGGGGGTGGGACGTGCCCTGCTTGGAGTTGCTTCTTAAAATACAATAATTAAATATATAGTGCAAAAGCACATCCAAATTGAAATAAATTTACTTACATACAGCTTCAAATCAAACTCTCTATGGGGTCTATTTACTAAGCTGCCGAGGCCAGCCGAGTGAACAACCGACCACAAGTGAAGTGAGCCGGACACTGTTCGGCTATTCACTTCAGGTTTGTACAGCTGATTTATATGTTCGGCCGCCCCGAAGTGCAGAAGGAGTTCGACTCAGCCAATCCAAAATCTGGATCGGCTGATCCGAATCTCCGGCAGGCTACTCGCTGCTGTTCGGCCTATTCTTATAGATGCCGAATAGTAGTGAGTGAATAGCCGAGTGCAGCTGAGCGGCGTTCGGCTTGGCTGTTCTGCTCGGTCCCTCAGAGGGACCGAGCAGAACAGAAAAATTGTTTAAAAAGTGCAAGAAAAGTAAATAGAAAACGATTGTGTGGAGCTAGCAATTACAGCTAGCTCCACCCAACAGTTTTCTATTGGCCGGCGTTTCTGCTGCCGGCAAAAAAAAAGAAAAAAAACTCTCCTAGCCCGTACAGCTACTGAACCGAAGGGGTCCTGGAGCCAAAGCTAGCCGAAGGATCGGCCGAAGCTACGGCTAGATCCTTCGGCTGCTTCGTGAATAGACCCTATGTATTTTCAATAACATCTAATTCTAATACTTCTGTAGGGGTTCCCCAATTCTACAAATTTGAGAGGGTAAGGTGTAATTACAGCAAGAAGACAGCAATATTGTTCTATAGTGTAATGTTTCTTCAGATGATTGGAGAGATCAAATGAACAGTTAAAAGTATTGACATTTTAAACTCCTTATATGGGGTTGCTCAATACTATGTAGATAATTTAGCAACCAGTTTTGTCACATGTGAAGAATATTACCATCTCCACATGGACCTGTGGTGGTCTATTCTTCATATTTCTCACTAGGCTGCTGGGAGCCCAGGGACCTCTTTGGGGGGTGTCTGAAAAATACTGTGGCCCTGGTGACTGGTGAACTCTTATATTAAGAAAGAAAAAAACTAATTTGTGGATATTGTTGAGGTGTGCCTTATATATTTATATTCCTTGAATAGATGGTCAGCTTTAGGATGGTTTAGTAGAATTAAAAAGCATACTTTTCACAGGGTCACCGCTGCCGCCCGTCGGCGCTCTGCCGCCCCGAGGCCGGGCCTCGGTGGCCTTGTGGGAAAACTGGGCCTGGCTCCAAGACTAGACTAGAGAAAAATTCACATGTTAGGAGGCAGCTGTCATTTATAAGGAGCACACAGAGCTCCTGGGATTTGTACATCTCTGTTTTAATGTATGATTTTGTTTTTATAAATATAAATAAAGGGATGCACAGATACCAGTTTTGTAAGTACTAGTACTGGTACTTGTTGAGTACTTACAAGTACGAGTCCTGATACATTTTTGTTTATTGTTATGTTTATTGTCATGTGACAGTTTTTCTAAAAGAATACAGACTAATGATTTCTGGACAGTGGTGGAGCGCCAGAGCCAGGTCCCAGCTGCAACCGCTGAAACCCTGATAGTTCTCATGAAAATGCCAAGTATCGGCATTGGTACTCGAAAAGTATCTGTGCATCCCTACAGTTTATTGAGAATGGATTCTATCACCTTCAATGTTTTTTAATGAATTTTAAACCACTTCAGCATTTTTGGTGTGTAACACTACAAATGGGACCAGATACAGTAACAGCACTGTTTTTTACACATTCATATAGGCTAAAATATTGAATACATAATAATTTATCAGTGGAGGTTATCATATCATGATGATGCTATTATGAACAAGTAATGTGTAAAAAACTCTATTTTATATATCCATGATTTAATTCATTCTTATAAGCTATTAAAATCATGAGAAAGCGCATAGAAATATAGATAAATATTAACATATATTATATTAAACAGCTATTGACTGGTTCATTCTGGATAATATATTATCAAATGATAAATGATTGTTATATTAATAGGTAAAAGTGCACTGTGATCATAAAAGAGTTAAATATATAACATGCATGTAATACATAAATAAATATGTATAAATATGACATTAACTACCGGGAGCTTCTTGAATGTAACTGGGCGTGTATACACGTCCTGTTAGTCCCGCCCACTCGCGCGCTCCGTGCGGCGCGCTCGAGCGGGAAAGACACATAATTTAAAAACCGCCAGCGATGCCTGTTAACATACAAGCGATCTGCCGGCTGTAGAGCCGGCGGATCGCTTGTATGGGGTCCCGGTATGTGCACCCCTCCGTGGCAGCCCGCCTTCCGCTGTCACGCTGATCCTGGGCTCCGCTGTGCCCGGTGCGAGCCTGGGACCAGCATAGTGGCTCTCTGACAGGGGATTAGAGGGAGGTCGGTTCACCATCTCCCTCCGGTCCCCTCTCCACTGTCAGAATGCTGAAGTGTTGTATATTACCTCCCTTCCGCATTCTCGTGTCACTCTCCAGCTTCAGATGCTGGAGAGAAGCTGATGAAGCAGATCTCTGCTTCATCAGCTTCTTCAGGGGGACCCCTGATGTCTCCATAAAGAGTACCTGTCACTTTTTTTGCTATCACATATAGGGGTTTCTTAGCCCCCTCTGTGATAGCAATAAAGTTAAGTGGGGAAAAAAATAGGAAAAAAATGTAAAGTTTCCCCAAAAAACATTTTTAACCCCTTCATGACTGAGGCCCTTTTTTCAATTTTTGCACCCATGTTATATTCCACATTAATTTCTCCTGAATATAGTAAAAAATAAAACCCCCACTGGTGATTAAATACCACCAAAAGAAAGCTCTATCTGTCCCCAAAAATGGTATAAAATTCATTTCAGTACAGCGTTGCATGACAGAATAAATGTCAGTCAAAGTACTGCAGCGCTGAATACTGAAAAATGGCCTGGCCAGGAAGGGGGTCTAAACACCTGGTCTTCAAGCGGTTAATGTAATAAATGAATTTGTGGAACAAACAATCCTACATAATGAAATAAAATATTATCATAGCATATTTACAATCATATGAGATAAAATATTAAAATTAGATACAATATTATTGTGTATTATACCTATTAGGGGAGTCAGAATTTTTTTTAAGGGGTTTTACATACAGAGTAAATAACCGTATATATTGAATATGTTGTGACAGTAAATACATACTAACTGTGCAGTATAGAGCAGAGAACAATAAACAAAATTGTAAGGTAAAAAATGTAAGGTCTTCTTGAAAAAATGTAGGGAAACAAGACTGTATGGATGATTTATCTTTGTGCATGCACACTCAGATGAAGGGATGGCACTATTGGTTTAGGTGTTAAGGGTTGCTATGGCTTAGTTGTTGATAGTCCACATGATAAAATATTGCAATCATGGCAGTGTATAACAGTGGTTTTTACACGATGTTATTAATTAATAATGTTACTCTAACCTCATTTGATAAATTATTGGAAATTGGTATTCACTAAAAGGAATGTATTGATCTAAATGTTCTGTTAAGAAACAGCTCCAATAAATGTATTCCATCTGTGCTCTTAGGTAGTTTTACCTGAAATTCAACTATAAAATCAATGGAAAATAAGGGTGCTTGGTAAATTGACAGATGCAAACAAAAACCTATCAATCCATCTGAAAACTAAGGGGTCTATTCACAAAGCTGCCGAAGGATCTAGCCGTAGCTTCATGCCCCAGGACCCCTTCGGTTCAGTAGAACCGAAGGGCAGCTGTACAGGCTATTCACTATAGCCCGTACAGCTCCCGAAGTTGGCCGAGCGGCTGAGTGGAGCCAAAGGCATATGCCTCGGCTCGACTGAGCCGAGGTAAAAGCCGAAGCTGGGCGGAGCCAGCCATCATCTCATGGCTGGCTCCGGCCACTTGCAGAGACAGATCAGCGTCCCCTGGTTACTAGGTAACCAGGGACACTGATCTGTCATTACCAGACATCCCAACTCTCCCGGACGCTCCGGGAGTCTCCCGCTATTAGATAGTAGCTCCCGGGAGAGAAACACTTTCTCCCGGAAAGGTTTACTCTGCTCAGTCAAGCAGCTTTGTGAATAACCCCCTAAGTGGTAAAATCATGCGATAAATGTGCATTACATGAACTTGCCTCACATTTCTGTGAATCTAGTATTTTTTGGTGTAGAGCCAACAAATGATTGCATAACTGAAATTACTTCATGTTTTCTAGTTTTTCTTCCTTGGTTATTCTTTTGCTTTTTGAATGGAAGCAAATAATAAATATGGTAGGTATGGGGATTTTTTTCATAATATTAGAGGGAATGGCACATGATTTCAGTCAGGGAAAATAATTCCTTTAGAATATGTTATCTAACGCCAAACATTTATTTAACACTCCCAACCTGATGTTATTGTAAATGCAAACCCCCTATCCCTGCCCACCAGAAAGTTACAATACTTGTCATAAATTACTCAATAGCAATATTGTAAATCTGAGTGTTGATAACCCACAAATACTAGTTCTCTAATTCACAACATGTGTTTTACTACAGCTGCAGCACTGGCTGACTATATAAAATATGAAAAACAAGACAGAAGACAAAATAAAGTATGAATTATTTGGAAAGGCTAGATCAATTTGAAGATACAGTTACTAATTAAACCAACGTTTATCTGTTCAATGCATCCTTTACATGATTTTTATTCTTATATGACAATGTTAACTGAAATGTTTTCAGGCAGTCTGATGTTAGTGATGAGATAATATGTTTGCTGACATAGGTTAAAATGTTCTGAATATAAATTCAGCAGTTGTTCATTAGTCACCATATTAAAACTACCTCTATAATTTGTCTGTACTGTACAGTTTAAAGCAAATATTGGTTATTTTGACATATACTATACATTGTTAATATAAACAGCTAAATTCCTATTGTTTGTTTGAATTATACAAAAATAAACAACATTTTTGAACATCTAGCATTGATTTAGTTATTGTTTTTTTTTGTTTTGTTTGATGGCATGTGTTGTTAAAATTATATATTTGAAAAAAGTGCTGTGCTCTATAAACATGTTGTCACAGAATCTTTATGCTAGCCTAAATAGTAAAACTTATTCAGAAGAAAAAAGAGGTGGTCTCAAAACTAATAAACCAGATATGCTTTTTTATTTTCAGTGTATTCAAAAGTAAAACCTTTTTAACCTCTAATGTGGAACTGCTACCGTTCACTAATCAAAATCATATGATACAATAGTTTTATATCATAGCCACTAAAATAGTAACATGATGGATATACATACACAAATGTATTATATTAAAAGGGCATTAATAGCAATACAAATATCCTCAAACAGCTGCATCACATGAATACCATATCTGACCATATATTTTCAAAATATAGCCTAGGGCTATCAAAGTAATATGACTAGGAAAAGGTGACATGATTCATCATATATATAGTAACAGTTGACTACCAAAGTCCATACCAATGAATAGACTAATTAGTCCTTAGTAGGATATAAAATCAAGTCTAGAAACAATGTAACTATTGTTATGTATTGCATATGCATAGTCATGCACTCCACGGAAATATAAAAAGTTTCCTTTATTCAATCTCTGTAATGGCTTAGTTAGTTTCTTAGTGCAATTCACAATCTCAGTACTCATAAATACTGTCATAGATGTAAGTAAGTCCATTCAAACGCACAATATGTACAATTGTGCAAAAGTACTGTATGTAATACATATACGCTAAGTATATACACATACTTTGTTTTCATAGCTGCATATAGATTGGATCTGTTAGTAAATCCAATCAATAGTATCATCCACAGGATAAATGGCCACAATGCTTATTATGCTAATTTACAAAGATAAAAAAATTAATATTAGGAGCTGCACAGCAGCCACTTCTTCTTTCCTTCTTTCTGTCAAATGCACAGCCATATTGCATCTGTAAATACTCCACTAGATTTATTTACCACACTATTGGCACAGATGTATACATATTTGATCACAGTACATTAAAAGAGAACTATGGCCCAGCCTTTGCTTGCCATAGTTCTCTGTAAGGTCACAGGAGGACATATTCAAAGTGTAAACAAAGAAAGAAGCTGTGTGATTCTGTAACAGCTCTCTTTGCTTTTTTGCTCAAATTCGGGAGTCAGGACTCACTTTCCGAATGTAAACCAAAAAGCTGACAGCCGTCACAGAATACACAAAAGTGTTAAACTGAGTGCAGTCCGCATAAACAATAATAAAAATAAACAGTGTGTGGTTCCCCCCCATTTCATACTGGTCTGGTAAGAATGTTAGGGGGGACCCCAAATGCCAAAAAAAAGCATGGGGTCCCCCCCAAAGTCCCTACCAGACCATTTAAGTCTGGTAGGAATTTTAGGGGGGACCCCAATGCCAAAAAAAAAATAGATAGGCTCACCCTAAAATCCCTTACCAGACCATTGATCCGAGCAGCATCCTGGAAAAACTCCCCTATGTGGTCTCTTATCAACTCTCAAGTATCTCCCTGACTACAGAGGTTAAGCTTACAGGTCTGTAGTTACTTGGTAAAGACTTTGGCTCCTTTTGAAATATACACTTCACATTGGCCTTGCACCAATCCATTGTCATTGGTCATTAAATAGTTTAATTGAGGACACATGTGTGTAAGCTATCTGGTCCAGGAGCTTTATCATTCTTTATTTGTCTGTTTCTGAGCAATAATAGTTTTGTGCCATTGTGATTCATTTAGGCCCCATTCACACTGAGCGACATGGGTATTGCGCGTTTTCAGCGCAATTTCGTGCAGAGCGGCTTTGAGCTACATTGTGCGATATTGAACGACAATGCACATTTTATCGCGCTACATTGGGCGGGACTTTGTCGCTGCTACATTGCGCTGTAACCAATCAACAGCCATCTTGATGTGACATCATTCTTTCATAAAATTTTGCAGTGCAAAAGTGACCCTTCTATCGCGCGATATCGCCGCTAATGCACAATTTTGCGCAACACCATAGTCTATTAGAGCCCAATGGCGCTACATCCGCGCAAAAAAGGGTCATGTACGAGCGACAAGCTACAGCGACGAGCTACAGGCGACATTGAGCTGTGAGATGTAAACAGCTCCATTGAAATGCATTGGACAAATTACATGGAAATATGCGCAATATCGCGGCAGAAATCGCACGATAAACCGCTCAGTGTGAATGGGGTGTCAAGGCTGTGGCAATACTATCCCCATTATAAATTCCACCATTTTCTTTTGTATACACAGAGATGAACAAGGTATCTAATAGATTTGCCTTCTGTTTGTCCCCACTCACCAACTCTGAGATATCTTATAGGGAGACCTGAGCTTTTTACTATACTATTTACTATATGTAAAGAATATTTAGGGGTTTGTCTTTTTACTATCGTGACTTCCATTTTACATCTTTTCGTATATTCTTTTTAACCTTCAAATGATAAACATTTACTTTTAGCCATTTACATTTATTGCCAATAGGAATATATTTTGCATTGTGTTTGCATGCAGTCAATTTAAAACATTCCTACTTCTGTTCTGTGTACGATATTTTACATGATCCCCTCCCATGATCCCCATTAACATGGATTGCATTTATTTTTTTAACTTTTAAAAAAAAACCTCTGCTTAAATCTTTCCTTTCATCATCAAATCCATACATTCCACCTTTTTAATAATATATTTATTTAGCACTACTCCTTCCTGAGTGATGTAGAATAACCCCCAAAGTATTCTAGCAGCTGTATATCTTAAAATTGCCCTTTTTACTTACTGTCCTTTAGTTCCATGGTGCATCCGCTCTCAAGGCAGGATCCTTGGCATGCAGTGGATTGAATAAGTTGGGTGCAAGTTACTTCAGTAAATTTTGTGGATTTATTACTAAGAACTTATAGGAGAGATGGTTAGGGAAACAGGATACTAGAAAACATCAGCAATAGTTGTTGCACACAGTCTGGATGGGTAAATCTAATTTTTATAATCAAAGATCTTGTGTAGCTCTTGTCTGTTTTCTTCACTGGTTGATTAAAGGCTTCCTGCTCTGAATGAACAATCACAATCACCTTTCTTTAGTTTGCCAATTTGAGGGCCTTTTACTTTTTAAAGTGGAAAGTCTGCTATCCACCACAATAAAACTTCAGAACCCCATTTTCTTAATTCAGCTAACACTTGCTAAAAGATGTAAAGACCTTTATCCATCCATTCACTTTGTGTCCATGTGCAGGCTGCTCTACCCCCTCTCTTGATGAAGCCAGAGCCATCTTGCCTGCATTCCAGCATTTACTTCCTCTTTGTCTATACCAGAACTCTATGCTGCCATCAACAAGAATGTATGACAATTTGTGCAGATGCCAGTGGCATCATCAGAAGAAAACCTGAATTACTCAGGAATGAAAAGGCTTTTGGGAATGGGTATTAGGACAATAGATAATATATACATTATGCTGTTAAATGAGGAAAACTTGCAAAGCTGACTTTATTTTTGCTTTAAGAACTGTCAATGTCTCTTACCTCACTAAGTAGTCAGTACTTTTTGCCAGTCTAACTTCTAGTTTTACCTGAATCTCTTGTGCCACAATTCAGCACAGAAGATTCCCAGATCAGGATGCTTCCTCTGGGCATATTTTAACACTGTTCACTATAGACATGCATTCCAGCAGGGAAAACATGGTCGAACAGAGCAGTAAGGTTCTTGTTCCAAACTTTTCCTCAGCTTACACCACTGAGCAAACTTAACAGTGATTTACTGGAGAGGATAAATATCATAACTCATTTATTATCTCTTCCCACACAGAGTACTGAATTGCAGAAAAAAATTAATGACCTGAGCTTAGGAACACTTGCAGAGCAGAGAAAAAGGAAACAAAGCTCAGACTGATCATGAGAAGATAGTAGAATAAACTAGGGACATTTCTGCTTGAGAAAGGTTTAGAAGGGGAACTGGCAGGACCACCAGGTATTTGTAAGGAAATGAAAAAGTGAAAAGTAAAAGGCACTATTTAGCTTATAAAACATAGAATTACAGATAAATATTTGCAATACAATATTTGGGGGTAACATACAGTTTAAAATTATTTTTGGCTAAATAAATCTACCTAGGTAATCAATAATGCTTTCATGGACTGTGGTTAGAACACTAGAATTTTAAATATTAATATCATTCTTACATATTACCCTTTTATAATATGCAGTTTAGTTTTTTACAGGTAGCATTCTTCTTTATATATATATTGTTTTTTTCATCAATCAGTTGTCTATATTACTCTTTTATATGATCTATGAAAGCCACTCAACTCCCTTTAGCTAAAAAGGAAAAAAGAAAATAGCACTGCGCTTCAAACTCAAAAATTATATTCCTAAAATGTGAAAAAATTGCATAAAATGTGAAATTGTCACAAAGGGATACACAATTTTGTGTCATACACAACACCTGTGTTGCACAATGCCTGTGCTAATGATAGTAAAAAAACAAACAAAAAAACAAAACAAACGTGCTAGTACATCTCATAAAATGTGTACATATAGAAAATCCTGTGTTGAATCTCACAAGTGATGTATAACTCCCACCTAATCTGCATAACCATGTGTGAAGTCCATTCCTTCTGGATACAATAAAGTCCTTGTATGTGAGGATATATCTTCCTAGCAATCCTTCTCATTTACTAGAAACATTAAACCCTAAACAATATAAAAACTATTACCCCTGGTACAAAAGTTTAATCAACTATAGTTTGATCTGTGAAACAACCTTAAAGACCTTAGCAAAATATTTAAATCACAACTGAAGTTTAATGTGGTTTTGAGTATTAATTGATGAAAAATAGTTGAAACACATCTTCAAGTCCACATTATCTAATGATACTATCTATTTAAAGTCTCAATATTCAACAAGATACTCAAATATACAGGTAGATAAACCAATTTAGAAATATTTTTGAGTGCACAAGGGTTTTCGAG